GAATGGCTAACATTGTTAACAGATTCGCTGGAATACCACTCGACGAACTCCGGGGCACAAGAGTTCCCTTCTTAAGAGTCGGATGGAATACACAGTTTATTATGGTTTGTATTTTATGAATACATTTTCTCCACATATTTAATTGAATTGTATGTAAAGATGAAAGAGTTTGGATTCCTATACGACTCATCAATGGTCGCCCCGCGATCTGATCCACCCCTTTGGCCGTTCACTCTTGATTACAGAATCCCTCATAGATGTCACGGATCTCGTCAGAGATGTCCGTCGCGATCGTTTCCCGGGACGTGGGAAATGATTATGAATCCATTCGACATCGAAGTCTCTATTATTTTATTAACATTTGAGTTTTTGTAGTAAATTGTATGTGTTTTCGGTTACTTTAGGGTCACATCTGCGCTATGGTTGACAGTTGTCCCACACATCTATCTGAAGATGAGATCTATGCTATGTTTATGGATAATTTCAATCGTCATTATAACACTAATAGAGCGCCTTTTGGTCTTTATTTCCATACGATTTGGTTTAAAGAAAAAGAAAACTTCAAAATTCTTCTCAGATTTATCGATGATTTAATGCAAAACAAAGTATTGATATTTTTAAATATTTTTTTAGTTATCATTTATATAATTACTGTGAATGTATTGATAGGACGTATTCTTCGTATCCAATTATCAAGCGATTGAATGGATGAGAACTCCGACCCCAATATCACAACTCAAAGACTTCGAGCCCTGGAAGTGCAAGAAAGACATTGAGCCAAACCTAATAGCCTGTAATCATCCCAAATCATGCAAACTCGCCAGTCGTCAGGTCAAAGGCGAACGATATCTACACACATGCTTTGATTGTCCGGATGTTTATCCCTGGGTTAAGAATGAATTCGGTTTAGAGTTTAAATAATATGTTTCGTGTATTTCAATCCAAAATCATTCACTAAAGTACTTAAAACTTATTACAAGTTATATACCAGTTATTATTGTATAACAATTGTATGACAAAATGAATAGTTGTTTAATAATGAATATACAATATAAATATTTGTGAATCTATTATAGAGTATAGAAAATAATATATTGAATAATTCACAAGTCGTTCGCATGTTTCTCAATTCATTTCATTTTAAGTGATATAATCTTAACAATGATTGTTAATTTAATAAAAGTGTGATTCTCAGTAAAAATTACATCAATATTTCAATTTAATCAAAAATCATTTAAATTCTAGAAATTCACGCGATTTGTTATTTGAAGAATTTTAACAGTAGTTCATTTTTAAACATTTGAATTGATCTGACATTGAATTACATCAACGAATCATATTCTGTAAAATGTCGATAAAAAGCACAGGAAGTGGTAGAATAAGAATTCACGATATGATTAGATATATTCTTCTAGTGTTATATTTACCGATTTGTGTACTCATATTATTGTGTGCCTTATATTTAACATATATAACAATCAATACATGGAATTGTGGTTTAAAAAGTGTAAGCAATTTGAGTGATAGTGACAGCACTTCCCAATGCAATACAATCATTGATGAGTTGAGTGAGAAGATTATGGCAATTATACCGAAGAGAAGGTTAATCCATTGTTTGCGGACATTGTCTTTTTATAATACTTTGTTCACATACCTGTCGGCCACTTATGCCACTTACAAGTTATCTCTAATACCACTGCTATGGCTCTGCATTACATCCATATTAAGCTATTTCATCACATTTTACGTATTTCTCAGTTACGGTCCGTTGTCTGGCATTAATAACTTCGAGTTAATTCCAGTTATTCTTGGATTCCAAGTGCACCACTATATTGTCATTTCTGTCGTCTTGACTTTAGATCTAATGATATGTATTTTGTCACTCACTTTGGTTTTAGACAAGAATCGAAGGAAACATTAAAGTAATTGCAAATCATTTCAAGAGAACATCGATCATAAAAAACTACTTTTCCTATATTTGTCACTAATTTTTGTTTTTCAAACTAATGTTTATTTTTAAATAAAATTTTTACAATATTTTAATTTTGAATTTAAATCCGTTTCTGTTACGACAATTAATTTCCTAAACATTATAATTTACATGAAAAAGTGATTACAATTTATTTAATAGAGAAACGCATTGCAGTACAAGTAAAGTATTTATTTTTACATATTTTGCGGATAAATAAATCTTTAGCTAAAGTTTAATTAATATTTAAACGACTGCAACAAACGGCTGCTTCAAGTGATACGAAATGAGTTTACATACAGTAGATATTATATTTTATATACATTACAGTTAACCATAAAATGATAGAATCCGTCCCTATGTGTCCTTATGTTTATTACATTCTCTATTTGATTGCTGTAATCATATTATTGACATCGTGTAAGAAAAGGTGTCACAAGAAATGTATATTGAAAGGACCTAAAGGACTACCAATCGTTGGATTCTTACCATTTTTGGGTACAAAAGCTCATCAAAAGTTTATGATTTTAAGCAAAAAATATGGGAATGTATTCAAGTAAGTATTGAAATGTGTCAAGAATTTACAGTCAAAGCAAATTGTGTGTAAAATTCAAACAGACTTCGTTTGGGAGGAATGAATTCTATAGTTTTGAATGACTTTAAGTCCATTAACGAAGCATTTAAAAAAGATGAGTTCTTGGGTCGACCTAAAAGTGTGGCTTTTAATGTAATCATGGAATTGCAAGGTTTGTATTGCATTCTTAACGTTGTATTGCATTTTACAAACAATTTAAATGGTGTTCAAAGGTTTCGGTACTTTAAGTGGTAACGAATGGAGAGAACAAAAACGCTTCACTTTATATCAATTGCGAAATTTGGGTTTCGGTAAGACATCGATGGAGAAACACATCAACGACGAGATGACAGAGTTATGCCATAGGATTCGTGGGCTAAACGGCGCACCCGTTAGCCTACGCTCGCTGTTAGGCGGCAGCACTTCAAGCAATATATCGGCGCTCGTATTCGGCAATCGGTTTGCTTATAACGACCCAAACAGACAACTGCTGGACGATTGCATTGAACGGGCGATCAGAAAGTTAGGCCAAACGGGTTTCATAACGTTCTTCCCCTCATTCGCCAAACTGTGCGCTTATTTTGGATTATTTGGTTTAAAACAAGTAAAGCGAGACTTTCTTACTGTCAATAACTATATTAAACACCAAATCGAAGAACACAAGAGAAGTTTAGACGAGAATAATATCAGGGATTATATCGACGCCTTTCTCATCGAAATGAACAAAACCGACGGCAAAAGTGAGACCACATTCACTGATGAGATGCTGGCGGGCAATGTTCAGGGATTCTTCGCCGCCGGCACTGAAACAGTGAAGACATCGATGGAGTGGGCGCTGCTTATAATCGCTGGACATCAGGACATACAGAAAGAAGTGCAGAAAGAAATCGATATCGTGTGCGGTCAACAAATGTTTCCCTCCTGGGCTCACAAGAATTCAATGCCTTTCACTCAAGCGGTCATTAATGAGATCTATCGCTGGAAAACAATATCTCCGCTAAACTTATTAAGAATAACAACAGATAATACATCCGTTGATGGCATTGATGTTCAAAAAGATACTATAGTTATCGCAAACTTGTGGGCCGTTCATAACGACCCTCTCTATTGGGAATCTCCCCAACAATTCAATCCAAACAGATTTCTAACTAAAGATCGAAAACATGTTATTAAATACGATAATTTGATCCCATTTTCAACGGGTATTACAAATAAAATTGATTCATATTATCATAATTTCTATAATTTTTGTTGATTAGGGAAGAGGTCGTGTCCTGGAGAAGGGTTGGCACAGACAGAGATTTTTTTATGCTTTACATCATTGCTTCAAAGATTCACAATTTCGTCCGTCAATGACATTTCATACGAAGAAGATATGGGATTAATATTACGGCCGAAACATCCCGTAGTTCTTCGTTTTGAGCCACGGATTTAATCATTTTTTTAATATACTTTGATTTATACAGTATTAAGAATCGGATTATAACTACAAGTACTTAATA